CCAAGCAGTAAAACCGGCTGATCTGCAAGTCATGCAACAAAAGTTTTCCACGACTATGGATTCGTTACTAGGATATTGGATTCATTACTAGGATATACGCACATCGCGCTCCCCCCCATGTCCTACCAAGGTAGCATGAGCCCCAGATTCCCCCTTCTATCTAGACATGAATAGAACTATAAGAAAAGGAAAAAGAAGAAAAAGAAAGAAAGATGTGAAGAGGGTATTAACTAATTCTCATAGATCCGCGAAGCAACCGCGAAGCTGCTACAGGCCGTGACTGCGTAGACCAGGGGGCAAAAAAAAACACATTGCCGCGCCATGATCCCTGTCCAACGTATTTTTTTCGTGAGTGTAAGGAAAGAGGGCGTATTGTTGTTGTTGTTTTCTTTCTTTCTTTCTCTCGTAAATCAGGCCGTCACACATGGGAAATTCGTTAAGAAAAAAAATGCGCCAAATCGTCTCGATGCCAGACATGCAGAAAACGACATCTGACGCCAATGAAAAGCCGAGCCAAAGAGCTCTGGCAAAATCCAATCTTCGCAACAGTATTACACGCTGGGAAGCCAGAAGGAAAGCAAAAACTGTCCTACAAGACGCGACGTATACTTTGTCTGGTTTGCCGGTGAAATACTTACTGCCTGTCGTTGTTGCAAGAAGTCAACTGTTGCTGGTTAGCACACACGAGACATGACTTGATCAAAGACATGATAATCACTCACTGTTCTCCTTGACCAACTGCGCAGCCTGTCGCACAAAGTTCACGCTAGACGAATCGCCAAAGCCCACCTCCTTCTCCCAGTCGAGATCTGCATCGCGCATGGGGTTACACTTGCGGTTGTATTTCCATCGGAAGATTTGCTGCACAAAATGCATTCTTTGGTCAATCTCGCGACACGCAATATCCGCCTGGTCTTGTGCATCCCTGTGGTCTATTCCCTCGGTCTGCGCTTTGGTCGACATGACGAGATGGATAGTCTTTTGTTGGTCCTCGAGCGCCATGCACATGCCCAGCACTGCAATAAATGCCGCCAGCCATTTGTCGCACCCCTTGGACGACTTGAATATTTGCTGCAGTTTGTTGAGCACGTTGGCTTGGATGGACCGCTGCAGGCGTGAGAAAAAGTACTTGAGCTGTCGGTTCGTCATGCGCGGCGACGTGTAGTTTTCTACGTAAGAGTTGGGGCCGCTGTATGAATGCATGCGTGATAGTGTCGCCGCCTTGGTTTCTTCGGCAATGGTGAGCGTGTGTGACATGATAAAGGTAACTACAATGAGGCGGAAGATCTCGCGCAGGAGCTTGGCCTCATCGTCCGACTTGGGGTTAATGCGCGTCATCAACTTGAAGAGTTTTTGCTGGAAATCGTTGTCGTCTTCCATCCAGCAGATTTCGCCGAATGCGTCTAGGTGATGATCAACAATTTCCGAAATGTACTTGTCATACTTCTTCTCCTCGTTGTGGTTAATGTGCACCATGCCCAGAGCAGGACTTTGCTTCTTGATGGGAATTCTTGCGTGCGTAACCGGGTCCATCTGGTATTGGATCTGGACCAGCAACTCGTCACCACGGGGAATGAACTCGTACACCTTGACGGCCATTCTGGGCATGCTGCTCTGGCCGCATGTCATGAAGACTGTCAGCTCATCACTGCCCCATTGTTGAATGTACTGCGTCACGAAGCGAGTCAGATTTGAATCCTCGTGCATTTGTGTGACGAGGGAAGGCAAGAAATATGGCGACAGATCAATAAGCTTCATCCGGTTGCATCCAAGGCCGCAGTCAGCATTGGGCCGCTGAGAGCGCTTGAAGCACCGATCGCAAATGTCTCCGGGGCCGCACTTGTCTCTCTGCAACACGCAGTGCCAGCATGCCACGATTTTACGCATGTCATGCGCGGCTTTGGCGACAGTAGGCTCCAAGTGGGTTCCTAACGCTCTGCCTCCAGATTTCGCTGCCAGTGCTTTTTGTGCTGCATTGCGCGACGATTCTGGTTCAGGAGAAGCATTGAAGCTCATTTCGGGAACACCACTCATCACAGTGCTGTCCAGTTTCAGGGCAGGCATCTGCTGTTGCTGCAAATGGCCAAACTGATGTGTCTGGTACTGGTCGACCACGATTCCAGAGTCGGAATGTTGATACGCTGAGAACATGCCGTCGGAGCTTCCCGGACTGGGTACAGATGGGCTGATTTCCGCTTGGTAGGGCGATTGTGGGTGATGGGCGGCTGATGATGCCGTGGGCGAAGCTGAGAATACATTGGACGTAATATAAGTCTCTGTGAAGAGGGTCGAGGACGCGTTGTAGTTGACAAAGTTCTGATGGTCGGGCGGTGGCGATGCACTTCTTAGTTGCATATTTCCAGGACTGTGGTTCTGCAGCGGCGTCTGCGGGACTGTTTCGTACAGACGAGGAGTGAGGTCTTGCGTTGGCGAGAAGAACATGCTGTCCTGGAATGCGGCCGTGGGCTCGCTTGGCGAAATCAGCGAGGCAGGATCCGTGTACTGTGCCGCCCAAGAATCCACATCGATCAGAAACTCGGAATAGTTGACCGCATCGGTCGCGGGATCGAAAACAACGTGACCAGACCTGGGTGTTATTGAAGAGCGCGAAGGGCCCTGTCCGGTCCACGGATCGTGGCGGGGTGGTTGGGTGGTGTAGTTCTGGTTGTAGACATTGTTCTGAGGGTGCATGTTTGCCATCTGCTGCGCTGGGTGAGGCTGCATATTGTAGTGCTGCTGGTATACTTGCGGTTCTGCCATTGTAGCATTGAATGCTGCTTGAACGGCTACAGGCGCGTCAGCCGAGACATGTACACCAGTCCCACGATAACCTACCTTGGTCGCTGAAAGTGCCCTGGGCAGTAAAGAGCATGCTCGAGTCCATGGTGGGCAGCGCATTGTGCGAGGCCTGCGCTGACATGGTGTTGCCGTTGTGGTGATAATAGTTGCGCATCGAGTCAGAGTCAAGCATCTCCACCTCGAAGGATTCGCCGTCCGGTGTCCTGACTGACGTGGGAGAAGTTGAGGAACTGCCATTGTCCCATAGCATGTGCTCGGGATCTTGGGCAAGTTCGGCATGCTGCGACGGACCACGACTCAACGGCGGGGGAGTAGTGAGCGGGCCTGGAGAGAGGCCGGTATGGTTGAGCAACGAGTCTGTTGGTGTCTTTGAGCGTTGGCGGGCATCGTACTGGCCGCCGTAGACAAAGGCGTGGGGATCCACAAAAAGAGGCTGTTCCGAGTACTGGTGGTAGTGCTGTGCGTAGGCGGCCATGATGTGCAGGCGGGCGGCTGCGGGCTGAACAGATATCACGGTCCTCCTAGGCCGTGTGCGTTAGACGGCTGATGGGAGACTTGTCTTGGAAAAGGCCAACAGCTCGACCCACGGGGCCGACGGAGATGGTGAGGACGCAGAAGTGGGAGGCTGGTTATGCAGGCGAAACAGCGACGCGTACCAAGCAAGACACACGGGTGAGGGGGTTGGACCAGACTGAACGAGGGCCCAACACGACTCGATAGGCGATGCGCAAGAAGAATCAGTCTCGGAGCCGGCTGGTGGGCAGAAGTTCAGATGGCGACGGCATGCGAGGCCATCTTACGCTGCCCCGCGAAGACCGGTGAGCAGCAGCCCGGCAAAATGTGAGCTACTGGCTTAGCTGCATGCGGTGCGCAGCATTTAGATCACACCAAGCCGCAAGCACCGCTCGCGCCGCCGCCCCGCGCTGCGCTGCAAATCACCGATTGTTTGAGGTCGTGAATCACGGCGCAAGCGGGTGGTGGCATTTATTGCGAGTGTTGTGGCGGTCCTCTTTGCACGGCGTGAAGGCGGGCGCGGAGCACGTCGGGAGCGTGTCGTAGCCGTCGGCATGCCATTATGCAGCGCACAGCTGCGCCTTGTTCGCTAAGCCAGTCCTCAATCAAAAGCAGCGTTGGTGAAACGAATGGCAGGTCGTGCAGACGGCAATGGCTGGCAGAACAACAGCAAGTTGCCCTCTAGTGCGGCTCTTTTGTCTTCACCGGTGCCATGGGGGCTGCCAGCTCATGCCGCGGCGAGGGATACAGGTGTGCGCAGGCCAGAGCCAATTGTCGTACCAAGCAAATGCATTGTGCTAGCAATTGCTCTCGTCCGGAAGCCTGCGTCGATGGGAGGCGAATCTTCAGAATCGAAAGGGCGTAGGTGTATAGCAGGCCAGCGCATATGTGCTGGGGGGGGGGGGCTGGGCCAGCCAGGCAGGTGAAGCGGCTATCGCGCGC